AGTTCTAGAAGCTTATCCTAAATTATATAATTTAATTTGTTTAGGTATATATTTATAAGTGGATTAATTGGAAATTGCGGGCGTGGACACAGCCTCTTTTTCATTTTTTTTTATATTTAATTATTTTTGTTTTTTTAGGCCTTAATCTCAAATTAATCCAAATTAAGTTTGCTGTCTGAGTGTTGCTAGGTGGCTAATTTGGATTGAAGCATGACCTCATTACACTAATCTCCCCCAGAAGAAGCATGCAGTTTTTGCCTTCTACACACAAATAAATAAAATAAAATAAATTTATATATAATTAAAATATATTATTTGGTCTGTTTGAGGCGTGAGTCATGACATATATAAATGCTGAGGTGGACTCCACTTGTAATAGTTATATGGATGCCACAGTTCTTGTAATGTTGATCTCATCTTAAATAAAATTATCAAATAAGAGGATTTTATATTAAGTTTTAAGATGATATTTTATTAATTAATTTCATTTTTGGTGGCATTTTATATTTGCTTAAATTTTGAAAATCAGCCTCCAATTAAAAATCAACCACATATTTGGTCAGCTGCCAAATTAATTCTAATTTTATTATTAGTTTTGATTTCTTATAAGAAACTATAAGATATTTTAAAAATCTTTAATTTCTTACATCAATATATAATTTACAAGAAATATTCTTTGAATTATTTATTTATTTATTTATTTGTTGAATTTCAATCCCTTTATTTTAAAAGCCTCGTCTTTCTTTAGAAAAATTCTCGATTAAAAAATTCATAATTTTTAAAATTTATTTGATGAAATGAAATTAAATTCAATTTTGCACATGAATTGCATTTATATAGAATAATATTAAATTGTCATTTCATTAATTTTTGTCTTGTTAATTTTTTTATATGATTTATTTGTCTTTTGTTAATTTTTCTTGATAGTAATAATATATTTTAAGCATGAAATTTCAAAAGCATTATAAATAATAATTTGAAAGGGAAATGTAAGGTGTTAAATCACATAATTTAAGCGCAAAATTTCTTTTTTACGGTCCATCGCAATCATCCACCTTAATAGTCCAAAAATAATAAAAATCATGTCTCTGATAAACAAAGCATCATGATGATGCACTAAATTACAAATCTGTAACTCTAAATTTTTTTTAATTGATTGTTATCCTCTTAATCATTAGTCCTTCTGTTACCGGAGTGAGCAATACTCGGTTTGACCTAAAAATCTAATTAATCGATTTGGTTCGATTAATGTTTGATCAGATCGATCTGAATAAATCCGGTTGGGTCTGATCCATTGAACCGAATGCTCAACCAAGTAGTCTATGTCCTCTTTCAACCATAATCTAACAACGTGTATACACAAACACACACGTCATGATGCACTTTCCTGCAAATCTATTGTTCATAATGTCATAATCAAGGGTCAACCAAAACACATGTTATTAAAGATAATTAACACTAAAAATCATCATTTCTGGTGTCGTATTGATCATCTGATTTACGTTGTTGCTTTGCTTGAGAAAGAAATTAGGTAGGAGAGTTTTGTTTTTTGAGGTACTTTGGAATATACAGTGTACTACTCGAAACAACTGTTTCGTCTTTGCTTTTGTACTATCTTCTTCTATTACGTAGTAAACCCTAAAAATCTTCCATAGGTGTCCAACACCATACACAATAGACAAAGTTTTGTTCTTCCAGATATTTATTTTTTCATTTTAATTTCATTTTGAATGTTTTCTTATCAACTTATATGTTTATCGAAACTATATTTTATTTCAAAATTAAATCGAATTTGTCCTTTTCAGAACTATTACGTATTTATATTAAAAAAAACCCTCGAATTGCAATGTCGATAAATTTGTATAAGAGTGATATATTTCAGGATTTATAATTATTATTTTCATAATTATTCTTTTTTAATAAATCGAACTCTTGATCATCATCAAATGGATGTCGTAATTGCTCGTTATATATATATACAAGGTTGATTGGCCTTCCATATGGATTCCATTATGAGTTTCGTTGCGTAAGAGACATGAGTATTGTTCTTGTTTTACTCAAGATTGCAAATTTCATGATCAGAACCAACTATTCTAATGTTGCGGGAGACAAATTAGGTTAAATTAAATAAACCATAAAAGCTGATTTCAGAATGTTAGATAGAACGAATTAGTATACAATTATGATTAATTAATTAATTAATTAATTAAATCTTTAAAGAAAGTGATGATGAAAGAGCAAGAGACCTTTACTTGTTTCTGTTTCCTTAATTTTTGCATCTGAAAAATAAATTATGTTTAAAATTGAAACTCAAACTCAGTTGCTTCTTTGGAAGAAGAAAAGTAGTTCAATCTAAATTCTCTTCTTCCTTATAAAATAAAATCAGAAACGATTATGGAGCTACAGAGAGAGAGAAAGAGGTCAACACTATAATTAATATATAATTCAGATTAAATAAAATAAAGAGCTTACAAAAATTTTTTCACCTAAATTTGGTTTACCAAATTGATAAAAATTCTTATAACCGACGAGACTCGAACTCGAAATTTTACACGAGTTTGAAAATTTTTAGATGTAAATTTTTGATTAAAATAAATAAAAAAGAACCCATCCATATATTTCTTTATGTCCAATTAAATTTTAGAATAAATTAGGTGTTTGATAATCAATTCTAAATAATTTATCTTAAGAATATTCTAATCAAGATTCACTCTCAGACATCTAAAAAAACTAATTTCTAAAATGATAATCTTAATTTATGATGTAATAATAAGATCAAATTTTTGATTTATTTTCCAAGTCCATTGGAATTTACAAAAGGTCATTTTTATTGTTTAAGCACAAAATTTTTTTTTTTTTTTAATTTAAACGGCTGCTGGCCTTCAAAGGAAACGAGTGGTCGTTCACATATTGGCCTCTTGGCTTTTTGGCCAAGGATTATTTTATGTACATATATGATAATGTAAACGTTTTTTTTTTTTTTTTTTTTTTTTTTTTAGATGTAAATTTTTGATTAAATATAAAAAGAACCCTTATCACCATATATGGTGTTCTGAATTACCTTAAGAAAAGGAAGCCCTCCCCTATGGCATTGTGCTCTCCAAAAATCTAAATTTAGAATAAATTTAGGGTGGGGTTCTATTGATAAATCCTTCAACCGTTTCTTACCAAATTATATCCAAACTTGTTTGGAATCTATTAACAGTAACACTTGAGACATCGATAAAAAGTCAAAATGTGTAAATACCACTCAAGAACAAAGAGAACACCATCTCTCTAAAACACTTCAATAAACCACTAAAATTTCTCTAAACAAAAATGGATTAGGATGCTTTCTCCTAAATTTTACTTGCAAGAATACTAATATAATAAAGATCAAATTTCGAAACTAAGAGTATTTTCGTTATCTTTCCAATTTCTTCTAACCAATTAACTCATTTGAATATGAGACTTTTTTTCTAACTATTTTTAAAAAGTGCTGATTTCACTACTGTTCTAAAATTTGATTGTTTAAGCACAAAATTGTTCTCTTTTTAATTTTTAATTCTTAAGTTTTACCGAAATCTGCACTGGCCTTCAAACAAGGCGAAAAAAACGCAGTATTAGGCTCAGTTAACCCATATATCGCGCCTACATCTGGACTTATAATATTTGGCGCAAGGTAGGTTGCATTATTTTTATAAGATTTACATGAATATTTTATAATTGATACATTGTGAAACGAGAGGTGTTTCATGGTTTTAATATTTCTTTTTTTTTTTGGCTTTTGGTCAATGAAAAAAAATGCTATAACGCATGTTGATTCAGTTGGCTGAAGGTCAAATTCTGAGTCTTTCATTATAACTTTGATATTGAGAACTTTATTTTTTATCTAATTGTTTTACAACAGGACTAGACATGGATTCAATGAATTATCAAAGTTATAATGAAATAAGAAAAAAGACATTTAAAAATTAAAGTAGGATTTTATGAAAAGATCAATGTAAATTTAGAAATATCTCTCAATCATCCACAAAGGGACCATTCTTATTCAATCACCCTGTTTTGATATGTGAAACAGCACGCACAGCCGCCATCGTCTCTGCTAATTGGCAACTCCATAAATGGTTTTTGTTCGGTAGGCTCCCAAAAAGAAAAGTCTCAATTGGGATTACTCCCTTTTCTAAGTTTTTTTTTTTTTTTTTTTTTGCATGAAATTGCAGCTGTTGAAGATTTTAAACTTTAATTAATATTACTGACGTAAATATTAATTAGTTTGAAAAAAAAGATAATTAAAGAGGATTTAGAAAAGATCATGTAAATTTAGAAATATCTCTCAATCATCCACAAAGGACCACCTTATTCACATCAACCCTGTTGATATGTGAAACAGACACAACAGCGCCATCGTCTCTGCTAATTGCAACTCCATAAATGGTTTTTGTTCGTAGCTCCCAAAAGAAAAGTCTCAATTGGATTACTCTTTCTAGGTCTCTACAGACCCTCCATCGCAGCCATCTGACTCCAGCTGGATGCGTTTACCTGCATCCATCATCTTCAACATCAAACTTAATTACTGCATTTATAAACTTTCTGGAAGTACCCGATTCAATTCATTCACAAAAACGTTTTCGTTTTTAGACATTGTTAACACTTTATATTTTTGAAATTTGATTTGTTTGCTTTCGGAGTCATTCAATGATATTTAATAATTTAATATTTATAAAATTTTTTTACTTGTTTGTTTGTACTAATAAAAAGCTAATGTACTACATAGGCGAAAGTTGTACCGTCGGGCGTCGGCCAAGCCATTTCCTTGTTCGTTGTCAGACTTTTTGTCAATTGTATTTTCACAACCAACACAATAGGTAGGTCCCCACCAAATGCAATCCAAACCAACAAAATTTAATTTAATTTAGGAGTGTTACAAGTGGCCTTCTTTAAACCACCTCTTAAACAAATAATTAATGGCACATAGAACGCATCAACACATAAATTATTTATTTATTAGATTAATATTGTATTATTAGTATGAAAAATTTTTTCATTAGTGAAATGATTAATTGACAACCGAACGATTAAAACAGCCAAACAACTGAACCGGCTTTACTAGTCGGTCGGCCGGCCGGGTAGACTTAGATTCATTTTCAACTAACCTAAACAAAATTCTACTTTACTGGTCTCTCGTCTCCATCCATTTATATTTACCTATCTCTCCCTATTACTTATATTTATTTACATCATTATGGTAGCCGTCCATTCTCCACCGTTTCATCACCAAATCTTCTCTTCGCTCACATCACGGAACAAGAGTTGGGATTCTCGTCGCTGAACATCTGCGGAGCATGCATTGGATGGTTGTACATTGGTTCCATCACATACCCCTGTTGTACATATCCTTGTTGTACGTACCCATGGTTCATCATCGGGTACCCTTGATTTACAGGGTAATAGCCTTGATTTACCGCGTAAGACCCGTGATGAGGCTCCACGGCGTAACTTTGACCAAACATTCCATCGAACCAGTGAGTCGGTGCCGGTGCTGGATAGTACTCCATCTTGCTCACCTCCATCTTAGGTGCAGCGCCTCCGTCTCCTTCTTTCTTCTCAGCCTTAGCTTCTCCTTCCTTTTTCTCAGGCTTCGCTACTTCTTTCTTTTCATCTCCTTTATCTTTCTTCTCGCCTCCGCCTTCTTTCTTTTCCTCCTCTTTCTTTGGCGGAACAACCTCCACGTTCCTCTTCAGCTTCTCCGTTAGATAAGGCGCCAATTCCTTCACGTCCATTGTTCCTGTTACCGTCACCAAGTCCTTAGCTCCGTCCACCGTCACGTTCTTAACGCCTGTTTATTTGCCATGTCAGAATGCCGTCAGCTTTGGATTCTAATTAATCTCATTACTATTTAAATATAAATATTTATTATTATTAAATAATGGTGGCCCGTTAGTTGCACCTTTGATTTTCAAGATGATCTTCTTCATTTTTGTAATGCAACCATCACAGTGGGTTCTGATCTTCAAAACGACCGTACTCTGCACCGTTTTAATTGAAGCAAAAATAAGTTAAGCTCTCAATTGACTAACGACATTAATGGAGGATTTGATTTGATTAATTACCTCTTTAGGAGGAGACGGTTTCTTCTCTTCAGGCTTTTTCTCCTCCGGTTTTTTGTCCGATTTCTCTTCAGGTTTCTTATCACCGCCACCGTCTTTCTTCGGTGGAGCAGACACAATCTCCACTTTCTTCTTTGTTTTCTCCTCCAACCTCGCCTTGACTTTCTCCGGGTCTACTTTCCCGGTCACCGTCAATTTGTTGCCCTCACAATCTGTTTTCACAGTTTCCACACCTTCAACAACAAAATCATCCAATTAATCTGGTCTCTTAAAATAAAATCCAAACAAAATTCGTTAATTCTTTCAGATAATTATATTTACCTTCCAAATGTTTAACGGCACGTCTAACTTTCTTAGCACAGCCCTCGCAATGCATGTCCATCTTATAAACGGAGATGACTTTGGCATCGTCTTTGTCGGCGGCGGGTTTCTTCTCTCCTTCACTCTTTGCAGCTTCTTTCTGTTCAAAAAACAAACAGGGGAAAATGAGAGTGAGACGACAGTCACTGAATTGAAATATCGGCTTTGAAATACGAAAAGGTTACTAACCTCAGCACCCATTTATTATCTTTTAGATAGCTATTAGCTAACCTCTCTGAATGGTATATCTTCTGCAAGAGAAGTTTCTACGTTTTCTTTTTGAAGGAATGAAAGGAAGGGAGAGGCTGGAATATATATAAGAAGAAAGCGATTTAATTAGGTGGTAGTCAATGTCTACATTTAAGGTATGGTCGCGTATGGATGTGTGAGATTATGGTGATCATGATCACATACTAAGATGTGCATAATAATAAAAATAGTTTTTTTTTTCAAATAAACCAAAAAAGAAATCCTAAATTTTGTTTCAACCTTAAGAATTTTTCAATTTAAGAATATTAATAAATTATTTATTAGAAAAGATAAAAAGAATGATAATAATCTATTAAAAAATTACATTATATCTATAAAAAAATAAAATTCATGAAATTCATGATTTAAATATATTATCCCTTTGATTAACTTTTATAATTATAAATATAGAAAAAATAATTTTAATTATTTATTATTGTAATTAGATAAAGTTTTTTTTCTGATCTGTAACTATAGGGATCTAAAAGTTGATCTAAAAGTTTAAGTATTATTCAAATAGAGGCAATCTGTGATAATTTTCATATAAAAAAAATCGAAAAATAAAGTTCAGATTAAATTATCAAATTTGTAAATTTAATTGGCTAAAAATCCGTAAAGTCTGGGGGTTGAAAATGAATTTTTTAAAATGTTTGATTATTATACATATAATATAATAAGGCCCGCCACTGCCCGTTATGTGATGAGGTCAGCCAGGCGGGCGTTAGACTGTGAGAGGTTAACTGCCGTCCGATTGGACTAATGGCTGTATAGAAACGACCCCATTAGAGCAAAATCACATTGCTTTGAATTGACCGTGACCACTCAGCTGAACTGACATTACTGTCCTGCAGATGTTCCAATCTAACACGTAATATGGTGGGGGTATATTTGGAATTTCATATCTATCTCATGTAGAAAAGTGGAATTGTAACTGTAGAAATATCATGCGCTGCCTTTGATTACTGCTCCCACAGTTTTTTTGAAGATTTCAGTTTTTTTTTTTTTCAAATTAGATACTTTTTACAAGAGATAGGACTGATTCTGCGTTCAGATGGTGAATTTAAATAAACTTATTATATAATGACAATATTAAATATTTTATCATAAACTATTCATCACGTCCAACCCGATTTATAACTCACAAAATACATAAATTATATTATTCTTTGAAATCATATGATATTTGAAACGTATTAATTCGATTAATCTGGATTCGCGTTTTATAAATTTATAAAAAAATAAAGTCATTCTTACTGAATTTTGAAGGCATTTCATTTCATGACTCTAATTAAAAATAAATGACCTTTTATCATCTCATATATATATATATATTAATATGTCAAAAATCACCCATTGTTAAATCAGCATGACCAGGTATAAATTCTGATGTTTCAAAGCTCAAAATTTGTCGCTCATGTTACCAACTCTCTATCATTAAACTAGAATTTAGCTGTATAAAACTACAATAATAATTAAATTGTCTAATAGAACAAAAGAATTATGAATTTTTAAATTTATATTTATATTTTATAGTTCAATGACAAATACAATTTCATGAGGAATTTTTTTGTTTTTTCTCCTTTTTCTTTCTTGTTTTTTTGTCTTTTAAATATGTCATTTATAGGTTAGTGTCGTGTAGATTTAACTGGTTAGGTTAAAGTTTAACGTTGAACAATACTATTCCTTTTTTTGGTTAATTTAATTAGTAGAGTTTAAATTTACAATCTTATAATTTTAGAAACTATTTCAATATATAAATAATTGAGTCAATACTTAATTTGGTGTAAATAAATTTCATTAAATTTTATAAAATTCATTTCTAAAAATCTATAAAATTGAACAATTCGAGTTCAAATTTTACCCTATAATTCCATATAACTTTTAACTAATTTACCATAATTTCGTATTTTCGTACTTGTTATAAATCAAAATTTACATAGAATTATATGTTTTAGCTCCATAAAAACGTGAAAAATCATATATGAATATGAAGTATAAATCATAATTCTATTATTTTGCAATCTTTTTTCTGGACATCAAATATATGTACCGTTACCGATCAATCAATTTCTAAACATTGGAGTAGATTTTAAAAAAATTTCACTTTCAACCCAAAAATTTCACTTTCTAAGTGAAAACACTTTAAAAGATTCGATGTACAAATAAATACATTTAAAATTTTTATATGAACTAATTTGAATACCTATGTGAAAACTTATTTTGTTTCGATATTACATTATAGATTCGTATAAAATTGAAATATATGGTTTGAATACAAAAACATCAGCATCGAGAAGCACATAATGCCCACCATTTTCCGTAGCTACCCTATGTTCATGGTGCCATAGTCTCGTTACGCAACAATTAATCAAAGGAGATAAGGACATACCGCACGATTGTTGCGTATAGAACCAAAAGAAAGGTCTAATCTTTTCCTCGATTTATATTCGAAAGATTTTGAATTGAGATTTTTTATTGTTTATGTAAGTGAAAAAATCAATAAAATCATATTTGATTGATTTATAATAATTAAATATTTAATTATGTTAGAATAGAAACATAAACCTATGGCTTTTGGAGAATGCTTACAATATCAATGACGTAAGAAATGGAGCTAAAAAATTCAACGACCATGAATGGCTATATAGAATTAGAGATAATGATAGAGACGTTCCCACTGAAAGGAAAATTATGGAGAGCGACGACGAGCAATGAATGTTAGGCATGTTTCATAAAAAATCTCGAATGGAAATGTGAATATAATTCTAATATTTGCTGCTGCTTTATTCAGAATATTTTTTGTTTTTCTTTAAATCATTCAATATCCGAAATTCACTGATCATATTAATCCAGATTTCCGTTGTACATGTTTAAGAAATGGACAGAACGCTTCTTCCCAAATGTTTAAAAAGACTTTTTAAAATTTAAATTAGAGACTTTTGATTAAGAAAGAAAAGACCTCTATTATTTCGTCGGTTGCGAGACATTTATAACTTAACCCTCCAATGCATGCACTTGGGTTTGAAACGTGGATAAATTTGTTTCTGTTCTAGGGTTTTTGCTTTTGTCGGAAAGGTTAAATAAAAGATGGATACACGTCTATATATGTACAACGTACAAGCTTGTGGGTAGCATATACAGTACATGCATAGAATTCACGTGTTGAGCAATTTGCTGCTGAAGAAAAGCCAAGCAAGGTTGGCCATGTTCAAATAAAAACCTCACATATGCCTAGCAGGAAATTTCCTTCCACCACCAAGAAAGAGGAAAATGACAACGAGCCTTTCAAAACCCACAAAATTAAAAATCATTCTACTTCAAACCCACATGTGTGTTTTGGAAATTGCTTCACTAAATGGACAAAAACGAATGTGAAGCATGCTCTTTTGTTTTTTATTTTCATGCAATTTGGTCCTTGTGCTTGACTTGCTACGCGATGGATTTTGGTAAAGATTCTCTCTCCAATCTTTATCTTTAAATACACTTTAGTTGCCAATAATTAACTAATTTTAGTATCATATATTGAAAATGGGATTAGACCCATCTGTCTTTTTAGTATTTAGTTACATAGGAAATGGTTAATATTTCCATATATCTCAATTAATGATTAATTAGTTATTAATCAAGTTTCTAGTCTAGCTAATTAAAGTCAGAAACAATTATCTACTACATGAATTGTAAACAAGTGTTTATTCATCATAATGTCAAATATCATTTCTTCTAAAATTGTTTTCAAATGGCATACTCTTCAAAATCTTTCCCTTGACCTTCAGTTTGATAATGGTTTTTTTTTGTTTTCCTTGGATAATTATATATAGATTGCAAACAAACAATTGGAAGACGACGTCGTTTATACCAAATATTATTCAACGACCGATTGCGTTCTCATGGATTGTAATCTTGGGCCTGTTCAACTACTGTTGCTATTGGGCCTGCTATTGTGTCCACTGTCAGTAGTAATTTTTCTTCAGCCTATTATTTGGATGCTAGAAGTATTGGTCCATTTATTCGGTCTGGCCTATTTTCTTAAAGCCCAGTTCGTAGAAGAACACTATCTGCTTCACTTCAGCTTAGCTAACAACTGGAGAGAAAACCAGCAACCGCCGAGCAAACTGAGCTTAAAATCGCGCTTTCTTTTTTCCGGTCACCGTTTGACCGACATGCCTCCAATTCTATCTTCGCTTCATGCCGTTCACCCACTAATCAGCCGTCTTTACGCGAAACCGCTATTTCTTTCCTTTACTAATCTCTCCCACTCTTCTCTTTCGCTTCGCGAATTTTCTCTGCCCAGGCAATCATTCCCTGTGAAGGTTAGAACTCTTTCCTCAATAGCCTCCGCTGCACAGTCTCCAAGTGAAAATGGTAGTGGAGGTGGGAGGTCAGGCGCTTTATCGGCACCGCCACCTGTTCTCGAGGAAGCAGTTCAAAAAATCGACGTTAATCCTCCTAAAGGAACTAGAGATTTTCCTCCTGAAGAAATGCGACTCCGTAATTGGCTCTTCCACAATTTCAGAGAGGTTAGAGTTTTTTCACAATACATACTCCTTGTATAAGCATGTAAATATTTGATTAATGTGGTTTTCTAATTAAAATTGTAGGTTTCAAGATTGTATGGATTCGAGGAGGTTGATTTTCCAGTATTGGAGTCGGAGGCATTGTTTATTCGGAAAGCCGGAGAGGAAATTAGGGACCAGGTTTGGCGTTTTAGCTTTGAATGCATTGTTTTTAATTATTAATGAACTCTACAAGCAACTTTAGAATTGGGTATCATGCATACAGTTTCTGTTCTTTTGGAATTATGAAGGCATGTTCTTTTGTATGTTTTATGATTTTTGTTCCTTTTTCATTGACTATGAAGGGTGAAATCCATAGCTTCCGGAATTAGTTGTATACTTAAACCTTTAGGATATCCATATTTATATTCAAACTCCAGAACTTTTTGATTTTTTCTTTCTGCAGTTGTATTGTTTTGAGGATCGTGGAAATCGTCGTGTTGCATTGAGACCTGAGCTCACTCCATCTCTGGCAAGGCTAGTGATACAAAAAGGGTACTAACATTATAATCCATCAGTGTTTGTGTGTTTTTAATTTAAATAGCACATGATGCCGTGTTTTAGCACTTGTCATTTTCTTGTTTCCTTTATCAATGCTTTCATTTTTTGACATTTTAAATGCATAACATTTCGGTGTTCATTCATTTACTTGCCTATGATTTTTGTATCCAGGTACAGTCCCAGAATTTGATTCCCATGTTTTTTTTTGGTTCAGAAAATCAGTACCCCTGCCACTGAAATGGTTTGCTGTTGGACAGTGCTGGCGATATGAGAGGATGACAAGAGGACGCCGTCGTGAGCACTACCAGTGGAATATGGATATCATTGGTGTACCCGAAGTCACAGTAAGTGTTGCCAACTTTATATTCAATGTCAAAGATCATTCTGTTGATAGCATTATTCTTTCAGCAAATTGGAAGGCCATGGTCTTTTGAATGCTTTTGCATTTGGCATAACATTGCAATTGATTGTACTTAAGAATTTAGAATTAATTGTCCCCCCCAACTGCTCAAACATGCATGTCACACAGTTATCCATATTCTTCTCCTTTTATTGGTGAGAAGGCTTTAGTAAAGCCCTCAAGATGGCCAAGATGAAGTGTAATCTTTATTTTTGGCTCCAACATCAGCGATATAATTTATAGTTGTTTTAAATTATGATTAGGTCCCTTAAGTTTCTTCATCAAGCTTATTTAAAAAAATTTTCTCCATTCATTTTTTAGGCCGAAGCAGAGCTTATTTCTTCCATTGTCACATTTTTCAAGCGAATTGGAATCACTGCCTCAGATGTTGGATTCAAGGTTTCTAGCCGAAAGGTATTGCATTTCTTTCTTTGGTGGGATTTAGACTTACTATAGGTTCTTTCTGGTGCTTTCCCTTTGTAAATGATTACATAGGTGTATGTTTACCAATGTTTTTTCTGTTTAATCATTTTGAATTTTCACGTGACATAAAAAGCTTTCTCCAGTGCTAGAGGTTGCCCTTAATTATTTCCCCTCTTTATATATATTATGTTTATTTAAGTTCACAACTTCAGCTGGAATTACCATATAGTAGGAGAAGAAAAAGACTTAATTAGGCTTGTGTTAATCTCCAAGATGCTATTGATTAATAGACTACAGCTGTTATGCATCATCCAAAGAGTTCAGAATGCACATGAATCTCAAAGCATGCATTTTTGAGGCGCTGCATAATTTTAGTCATACTGTAGTTAGTGATGGTTCTAACTTTCCTGATTATAATAAGAATAATAATTACTTGTTCTTCCTATTGAAATCTGCCTGCAAGTTAGGTGCATGCTGAGCATACTATATATTAATGTATTGAACATTTTATTCTTCTTATAGGTTTTGCAGGAAGTACTGAAGTGCTATTCCATATCTGAAAATTTGTTTGGCAAGGTCTGCATTATCATAGACAAGGTTAGTTGCTTAAGTGGGCATGCTTCAGATGCAATTTCTCCCTGTACCCTTTGGTGCTGCTACATGGATGGTCTGATATCTAATAGTAACAAGCTACAGTCCTTGGTTGCATTTATGAAGTAAATTTTGATGGTCCCAATTGATGCTTGTACTTGGTTGTGTGTTTTTAATGTGGTTGCATCTCTTGTTTGTTTCTCTTCCTTTGGCCACTACTGTGGTGCTGTTAAACAGATCGAGAAGATTCCTATTGATGAAATCAAGAAAGAATTGAAGTCAGTTGGGATGTCAGAAGAGGCTGTGGAGGAGCTGTTGCAGGTCCTTTCCATCAAGTCATTGACAAAGTTGGAAGGTTGGATTCAACAAGTGGATTGAGAAGTTACTTATTTTATTTTTTGCCAAAGACTCAGGTTATTCTCTAGCATATTGTAAGTGTTAATATTGCTCAATTACACAAAGGTATAAATAAAAGGGAATTTCATGCAAGTGGCAAAAAACGTAAATATATTATCATTAATTTTGTAAAGAAATATATTATCATTAATTTTGTAAAGTGGCATCTTTTGGAGTTTGAGGCAAGGCTGGTATGAAAATTTGAATAAGGCATTGCATCCTCCTTACTTAGATTCTTTTATTGTTTAATTTACTTTTCATGCCTCATCATTCTTTTATTTTTTCTGTTTATCTCCTGTAAATATATATTCAAGAAATTTATCATTTATGCATATTGAGAAGTTTCTTTGTCTGCAAACATGTAGGCTAAATTGCACAAACCAGTTCTTCTCCTTATTAAATAAAATAGAGGAAAGTCATATATATTACTTCAGATTCTGAGTTTGTTAATATTTTGGTTCTAAGAGATTGAAATGTTTACTCTAGGATACTTGCCGTTGACAAATCGATTCTTAACTTCTAACTATATGAATGCTCGATATATGTAGAGATACTTGGAGGTGCAGGGGAGGCTGTTGCTGATCTTAAACAACTTTTCTCCCTTGCTGAAAATTTCGGTTATTCTGAATGGATTCAGTTTGATGCTTCAGTTGTCCGTGGCCTGGCTTACTACACTGGTATTGTTTTTGAGGTTAGATATGTGATACCCTTATTCCATCTTTAACTTTACACTAGCCAATTGTGATAAATGGCATATTTCTGTCTGGTCTGGGTGCATCTTTCATGAAGACAGCGAACAGTTTCATAAAAACTGGATACAATTGATGTTTCTTACTCCACCTGCAAGACAAACCAAGTCTTTTAGGTCTCTGAAAATAACACACAGTATTCTGGAAACTATTGATCTTCATTGGCCATTGGCCAATGCTATTTGTTTGATTAGATTGTGGACAACTTCATTACAAAGGTTCTCCTCGTCCTCCATTTCAAGCAACTTTCTAAAATAGCTTAAATTCATTTCGTCTAGGGTTTTGATAGAGAAGGAAAGTTGAGAGCCATATGTGGTGGAGGAAGATATGATCGGTTACTCTCTACTTTTGGTGGTGATGACCTTCCAGCTTGTGGTTTTGGATTTGGCGATGCTGTTATAGTAGAAGTAAGTTGTAAAGTTCTATTCTTGCATTTTTTTCAATGGTTGGATTTATGTCCTATGTTTGAGAGTTTGATATGTCCCTTAACCATGTATTTCAAAAGCTTAAGCTTATTGGTATGGACTGTGAGTAATTTCATTTTAGTCATATGTGTGTTTGTGTGTGTGTGTATATATATACATATGTATACTGAAAAAAACAAAAATTCCAGGTAGAGGTCACTGTGTAGTGAAAAACCAGCTTTCGCATAGTTAGCACTTCAGTGATAATTTCTACTTTGATTGAGTGTGCTCTACACTTCCATGATAATGTCCAATTATTTATGGAGAACAGAAAGGAATGTTGTGGATGTCAGGATTCATCATTTCTTACTTATCTTTGTTGGCAAATACCAGATTCTGTTAGTTGTTTCTTGTTTTTTTGTTATAACATTTTCGTCGTTCTTTCATTGTCAATTTATTATTGAACTTCTTTAGTTTATTATAATTTTGTAACTTAAATATTATCTTTTGGCTGGTGGTGGTAGCTACTGAAGGAGAAGGGTCTTCTACCAGAACTCAGCCTCCAAGTAGAGAACATTGTATGTGCACTAGATCCTGATCTTCAAGGGGCAGCGTCTACAGTTGCTACCATTCTCAGAGAGAAGGGACAAACAGTTGATTTAGTTTTGGAAAACAAACCTCTAAAATGGTATTGAATTCCATCTTTTCCGTGCTCAGTACTCACGAATTCTGATATATAGTAGTTAGCTTATAGATGCTACCTCTTTTTCAGGGTCTTCAAAAGGGCAGGACGTATAAATGCACAAAGGCTTATATTGGTGGGAAATACAGAGTGGCAAAAGGGTATGGTTGGTGTGAAAATCCTCTCTTCTGGTGAACAATACGAGGTTAAACTTGATGAGCTAGAGTGACAAGGAATTGGATTATCAGCGCTCTTGTGAATTTGGGGTGACGCCCTTTGTCTCTGTGCTATATTTATGTTTATCAATAGGTAAGAACTCATCAGTTCATATTCTTTCCCCAATTCTTACATTTGCATGATCTTTGGTGGAGTTAATAGAAAAAAACGGTTATTTAGTGTTGTCATTCTACTAGCTACTTCGATATTGATCATTGTTGTTTCATCACTCTTAAAGCTTCTAGGCTCAAGAAATTTTGTAAACCTTAAAATAAAAGGCTTAATGGATATTTTCATCTCAAATGGGACTTAATACGGTTTCTTTTTTTGTTGTTTATTTCCAAACCTTTTCCTATTCTAATTCATAGCAGACTTAGTTATGAACAGAACAGGATGAAAAATAAAAGATTCGCATAACCAACTCTAGTTTTAATTAATTTTAGATTAAGGCTTATTGGTTGTGTGGTACCTGATGCAACTACTTAATTTCAAATAACAGAGAAATGACACTCTTAGAGAATTCAGAGAACGAGAAAAAAAAACAGACAATTTGACAGTTTTTTTAGCCCATTAACTTTGAAAAGATGAAGCCTTGGACCTTGTGCTATTGGTGGCTAGTCATTGAATTTTTGAAGGCATTTTGAAATATTAAGCCACTTTATTCCCAAAGTCAGGCAAGCTTGACCTAGGCCAATATTAGCCTCTCTACGCTGGTCATATTTCTCTTTTCACTTTTAGTGGTGCCTTTTTCTTTTTTAGCCCATTTCCACTTTGATCATGAAAAAGAAAAATGTATTAACATTCATTAAGCTATTATTTTCAGTGGTGGGTTTTTTTTCAGTTGTCAGAAGCACAAAATAAGTTGTATACCTCTTTTTGTTGATATTCATTTCCTATAATATGGGTAGTGGTTGTACCTTGAGAGCTGACACCACTGTTCAAAATTCATATCATGACAAGTTCAATGTAAATTGTCAACTTTTCACAATAACAAATCTTGACCAAAATAAAAAAACCATTCCTTAGTTGTTTTGCCTAATTCCCCATTTACTCTTTTCATTAGAAATTTTCGTGGCAGGAATTTGAGTTCTATTATCGTGATTCATGAACTAGTTTTAATAGGTAATATGGTGCCAATTTATATATCTTGCTTGTGTTCGACAATATTTTTTTAAGTAGTTTTTAGCGTTTTGACTAAATGCTATTTTTTACAGTGTTCGGTAACATAGTGTTTGAACCAGCTTTTAGAGGTTAGGTAGCATTTTATAAAAGGTTGATCCATGTAACGTTTAGTTTTTAGCATTTTGCGAAAAACTGCTCAAATAATTAATTTTGCCGAACATGACTTCTAGTCTCCTCATTTGAAATAAAACTCTTTATATTCGATTGATCCCTGCAATTGATCTTAATCAATTAACGAGAAATAACTTCATTTCACCATTAAACTACTTTAAAATTTGCATTATATTTTGATTACTTAGAACCTTAATTCCACGTGTGTGCACTAAAAAGAAAATAAAACTATAAGGGTAATTTTACAAGAGCAGGCAATTAAAGAGGAATGATGCAGCTTTTAGAAGAAGCTTGGTTTGGCAATGGCAAGTAACTAACTAACAATTGATGGTTAAGGAAAGAAACAATAGTTGGATCCCTCCTTCCCCTGCTTCCTGGGTAAAAAGCAAGGATGAATTGTTGACTTGATTCACATGGCAGGCCTTTTTTCTTCTTGAAATAATTGTATCCAGAAATCCTCTCAATGCCCACTTTCAATCATCCTTATTTATTCCTCAGGTTAAAAAGCTCTCATTACTTACGGGTTATAGCTCAGTTGATAATGTGTGATGAGTATGTAAAAGAGTTTTCGCATTCAATCCTCACTAAAATGCACCTGCAGAGAGGGATGAAGAGCCTTAATTATGATTAGCTCCGAGCCGGATTAATGGGTACCTAATAATGAGATTTGGAGATCGATGGTTTACAAAAATAAAAAAAAATACTCACTCACATCAAAAAAAAAAAGTCCTTTTCTCACTTTGCATATGACCTTTTCGTGAAGCAGAAGCTTCCTGCTCGAGAAGAAGTACAAAAAGAAAATAATTAAATTTAGAGTTAAAGAAAATAATGCTTTTTCTTTTTTATTTATTTATTTTTATGTATTTCTTTTAGTATGGATATAAAAATAAGGGGGACCTCAATTCCAAAATGTGACAATTGACAATTTGACATTGCCCTAATCAGTAATCAGATAATTAGTAGTCTAATTGATTGATTTTAATTAAATTGGTTGATTTGTCATATTCAAACTGACATGGTCAATAGCCCATCTGTTAAGCCTTTTCTTTTTAGCCCTTTTATACGACACCTTTGGCAAAGTTTGATAAGGGATCTTAATTTTCCAGTTCTGGATATTATAATCCCATATTAAACAAAATGCTTCTCTATGTGTTTTTTTTTTTTTTTTTTTTTTTTTTTTCTTTTATACGACACCTTTCGGCAAAGTTTGGATAAGGGTCTTAATTTTCCAGTTCTGGATATTATAATCCCATATTAAACAAAATGCTTCTCTGATGTGTTTTTTTTTTTTTTTTTTTTTTTTTTAACAAAACGCACAAAAAACCCTCTTTTACTTTTTTACAGTCATTTTCCATTTTTTTAATATTTAGGTACTTTTTTTTTCAATTTATACCATTTTTAAACAAATGATTTTAAGGATAAAATTTTCTCCTATATCAGGCTATAATTTTATACTGGTTTTCAACAATAATCATTAATAAATTTGCCTTAATTTTTTTTATTAATATTGAAGAAGGCATTTTGTAAATTAATAAAATTGAAAATGAAAATACAGTCTCAATTTGTTAGGTATTTTTTTTTTTTTTTTTTTTTTTTTTTTTTACCCGTCTTTTACTTTTTACAGGTCATTTTCTTTTTTAATATTTAGGTACTTTTTTTTTTCAATTTATACAATTTTAAACTAAATGATTTTAAGGATAAAATTCTCCTATATCAGCTATAATTTTATATGGTTTTCACAATAATCAATTAATAAATTGCCTTAATTTTTTTTATTAATATTGAAGAAGGCATTTTAAATTAATAAAATTGAAAATGAAAATACAGTCTCATTTGTTAGGTATTCTATCCTAACCAATTTTTATTTTACTTTTCTTAGATGGGATTTGATTTTTTTATTCACGGGTATTTTCGTACTATTTTTAGATATAAAATCAATCTCATTTTATGGTTTATAGTTATTCTTATTTATAAATATTTTTTCCATGAACTAAACTCGTTACCTTATTATATATATGATTTACCGAATTTAAATATATTTATCATTTGAACCACTCCTTATAATTAATCAGATTTGTTAATATAAATATAAATTTTACGATCTACCATAAGTATCAGCGATGATTATGAAATTAAGCTTTCTATAAAAACTGAATCTACACACAATATAGACAAATGTTTTTCTTGAATTATTACTATAAATATCTAATATTAAGAATAAAAAAAGATATTCCATGAATTCTTGTATTTTTTTAATTTGAAAAGAAAATTTACTAAATTCATTGCACAACTATCAACACTCTAAACAATAATCAAAAGAAAATAAATAAAAAACAACTATTGCTAAGCTCCAACTCCAATTGGTTCAGTTCAAAAAAAAAAAAAAAACTCCAATTGGTTAGATTAGCAGGTCAAATGGATCCAATCAACCTTAATAATAATATAAAAAGACTAAAGATTTCGTAATTAAATATTTGTCTCGTGATCAAATATTTAATTTGTAATATTCATATAGTATTTTTAAAAAAACGTAACATACAGTGTTAACCAGGTGTGATACGGGAGAAATGAAAGGTCTCAGGTGAATTCATGGTGTCATTTTGATTTATTGAGCTAAAAAAAATTGTAACATGTATATTACACAAAATGGAAAGGTTTTTAATATATTTATATATTATTACACAGAAGAAGTCATATGCAACAAGAAAATCCCCACCACCACACACCACAATTAATTTTCCCACCCAAAGTAACAAGAAAATGCAGGAAGAAACTGTACAGTACGAAACTTTTTATTAAACCCTCAAAACAAATTTCCCTCTTTTCCATGAGCTCAAACACCAATTAAACAATAAACCATACCACCACCAACATCTCTCTTTTCTCAGATCACCACGTTTTAAATTCAAAACCGCCACTGCACCGCCACCACCTCCCCCTCCTACTCCTATCTACCCGCCCAGAACCCATCACCTCGCTTTGTACTCTGGTTAATCTTTCCTCTCAAAAGAGAGAGAGAAAAAAAAAAAACCCAATAATTCGGTATTTGTTTTTCCTATCTAATGGTGACTGGTGGGTCCCACCAGGATGATGTGGACAAGAATCCGGCTACTATCGCCGCCGTCTCTAGAGGAGGAACCAGGTCTTGGGGAAACACCACGGTCTCGGGTCAATCAGTATCGACCAGTGGCAGCGTTGGCTCCCCTTCTAGTCGGAGCGAGCAAGCCATGGCTACGCCGGCAAGTGATAGCACTTTTCTTAGGTTGAACCATCTTGACATTCACGCCGACGATGCGGCCACCCAAGATGCCGCTGCGTCAGTCTTCACTCATCCTTGTTGGCTTTCTATTTTTCTTTCTTTTTGTAACTAATAATGTCTTTGGGAATTTTGATTTTGGGTTCTGGGGCTATTGTGCTTATAAGTGGCTTTGACAATAGTATATGTGAATTGTAAGAGAATTATTTCCTATGCTTAGTAATTGTTGAAATGTGGGTGGTCCAACACATTATATGCTTGAAATTGGTATGGTGGCTACGAACACGATTGATTTTGTTAACTGCATAGATTATTGAAGATTCAGTTGTCGTGAATGTTGTGATAGTTGTTGCTGTTGTTCTACAAAGTGTAAATTATAGTTGGAGTGGCGCTTATTTTTGTAATTGTTGTGTGTTTCTGAAAAGGGGTTGTCTGATATATAAAACTTTTTCGTGAGATCAACTATAAACACTCTTACTTGTATTTTTCTATAGTCTTGGTAATTATTCATGTTATGAACTTTAGCATAAACACCTTTATCACACTAGTGGCGGCAGAGGGACTATGATTTTTGTTTAAGTGATCAAGTATATGTTCATTGATTGTGTATAGGATGTAGCTTAAAGTTTTATTCTTATTTTTAACTGATAATATTGTGTCTAAACAGTAACAAGAAGAAAAAGAGAGGTCAACGGGCAGCTGGAGCTGATAAGAGTGGTAGAGGACTCCGGCAATTTAGTATGAAAGGTATTTGATTTGTCTTTTCCCTCCAATTTTCCCTTCCATAATTTGAGAATCATGTGGATAGGAGTACTTATCTTGTCTTCCTTAATGGTTCAGTTTGTTATAGATTTTTAGACGAGTTTCCTCTAATCTTTTGCTTTAACTATTTTATGTCATTTCCAGTGTGTGAAAAAGTGGAAAGTAAAGGAACAACCACTTACAATGAGGTCAGTTGGTTTCTGAAGTCACTCTTTGACTTTTCTTTTCTCGATTGAATGCTGAATTTCTTTGGATGAATACTTATTTCTGCATATAGACAGTCTATGTATCTTAATAAAAGTGTGCAGTACCTGTCATACATCAAATTGGCTAGAGGCATTTCTGTTGCATTACAATAAAGTCTTATCGAACATTTACTCTAGCATAGCAGCAGGCGCAAAAGATTCAGGGTTTGAGTGCCTTGATTTATAAAAGTACTAGAAGGTTTTGTTTGCACCAGAGAAAACCTGGTCAGTTAAAATTCTTATTCTATTCATTGAGTTGGCGTCAACAAAATAAGCCATTATATTAGGTGGATATGGTTTTGAAGGTTCATGCTTTATTCCAAGTGCATTTTTAAGGCACTTTCATCATGTTGCTTCTCCAAAATATGCAATGTTATAGCTGTGTAGGGGTATCCTTGTTTTGAAGGGAGCTTCTGCCTCTGGATTTAGAACTCGAAGGCAAATCCTTGAGATAAAATTGGATCTCGGCTTATTGCTTTCAGATTCCAGGGGCTGTATTCATTTAGAAGTGCAGCTCTCAGATGTTAGAATTTATTGGATGCATGTTAAAAAAAAAAATGATCATAATGTGTTAGATTGGAAGACATAGTATATATATAATGTATAGATCCTTATGGTTATGGAATGCAATGTGGCTGGAAAGGCCTGTCATGATATCAAGATTGTTGAAGTGAAAGAACATTTTCAGGGTTTATTGGAATTTGATATCACGAACTATTTCAGAGGTTTGATGACAAGATAAATGATGATTCCACTTCTTCAGTGGATGATTGAAAGGATGGATGTACATGGAAATAAAATGTGCCTTCCCATGTAGTACGCCAGAGGAGGAATTGTTGGAAATTTTTCTCACTTCCAAATTGAGTTTCAGACCATTTATCACTTAATAATCTTTGCCCTTTTCTTCTTCTTCTTCCTCTCTCTCTCTCTCTCTCTCTCGATATAGCTAAGTAGCAATGCAGCATGTTGACCTTTCAGATCATCTTTGTACATTGATAATTTCCTTCTAGATCTGTATCCACTAGCTGGATGTTTTCATCATATACTTATCATATTTGTAAATAATACATCTCGTTTGCTGGATATTTGTTCTCACCTTGACTTGATTGGTTGGACAATTAAAATTCTTCAAATGTGCTTCAGCTTTGACGCTGCATGTTATCAGAATCAATGCTGTTTTCCTCTTTTACCTAGGTGTTTTTTTTCCTCTCTAAAACTATTAATAAGTTTATGCATGCATCTGAGGAATTCAAGCAATTTTCAGGTGGCAGATGAACTTGTTGCAGAGTTTGCTGACCCGAGCAACAGTGTTTCATCTCCAGACCAGGTTATCTATTCTTCAACTGAGAGAGAACTATTAATTTTGTTTGCTTGCTTATGTCTTTGATCTATTAGGAAAATTTGAAACTAAATGATGTGAGTCCCTTTTTATCTTGGTTGAAGCAGCAGCAATATGACGAGAAAAATATACGACGAAGAGTATATGATGCCCTTAATGTACTCATGGCGTTGGATATCATATCCAAGGATAAAAAGGAAATACAATGGAAAGGTCTTCCTCGAACTAGCCTGAGTGATATTGAAGAATTAAAGGTAGCAATGCAGTTTATTTACACTTCTGTTTTGTATCAAGAGAAGTCCCTTTGGTTTTCCTTGTAGGTCTAACATGAGCTTATTCAACTTCTCAACGTGATTAATGCAGGCTGAACGTCTTGCATTAAGAAATAGAATAGAGAAGAAATCTGCCTATTTGCAAGAACTGGAGGAACAAGTAAGAATAGTGTGTTTGAGTTCTCTTATTTGAATGTGAAGTTGCTTGTTGTCTGCACTTAGTCTGGAATTTTCTTTTCTAATATAGCTGATTAGAGTTTTGTTCATTGTCTTCTTGTCTCTTATCAAGTATGTAGGTCTTCAGAACCTGATTAATCGAAATGAGCAACTATACAGCTCAGGAAATGCTCCTAGTGGGGGTGTGTCCTTGCCTTTTATTTTGGTGCAGGTAAAACTTCTTCCCAGTTTTGCTATCTGTAGTAAGGGCCATTAACAGAGCAGTGGTAAAAAATCTTCAGCTTTGTTGTTGGTTTTGAATTTAGAGTGCCAGTTCTGTAAAAATGCAGAATGGTAGAAATGTCTCCAAATTTATCATTTTAGGATCTTACATTAGTGGAGATGGAGTTGGTGAGGGAATTATCTTAGAGTTGGGTTTGTCAAGTAGTGTGGATAGCTATTACTGTTGTATGGTTGTATTGCAGCAAACCATTGCTTGGTTTCTTTTCAAGATTTAATTCCATGCATGATGAGATATATAAATATATTGATGAAGAAGATAACTAAATAAATAATTTTTTTCCTTCATTATTTAGAAATTGAGAATTGTTGGGCATGTTAATTAAGTGGGACTTGGACACATATAATTTTTCCGGGAGAACTTGAAAAATATGTCAGTGCATAACTTCAACTTCCCTAATTAGCACTCACTTCTCTGCCAGGTGAATACTGTAATCAACATTGATCTGTGAACTTCAGTTGTATAGATGAGTCTTTAATTTCCTAAGGTGTTGGTATAATCACTTTTTACAAGTATAAATTAAGTCGGGAACAATATGAGAGCATAGTTCTAATGTTCCAATAGTTCACTGTTAGCTGTAGTGCGCATATCCAGTTTTAAAAGCTGCTGAGCTTTAGGCGATTTTCAGTATTTTCTTTCTATTTGTTGAATTTTCTATCTTGTAGCTTGCAACATTTTCCTTATTTGATTAATGCTTTTGCTTTCTGTTGTCTCTGTGTCCTATACGACATCAAGATTTTCTAGTAGGCTACCCAAGGACTTCAAGCCTTGTGATTGTGATGTCATTCTGTTTAATATGTATGTTCTCATTGATGATTAATTGTGTAAAGTGGAAGAAGGCATGTGTATCATAGTCAGCATCCTTGCCATTGTCTTTTCTCAGTATTGCCACTGCTATCACCGCTTTTGTTGCAATATTCTCTTCATAGTCAAAGTAGGATTATGTTATCATTTATCATCTTTTCTTTATGCTTGCAATTATAGTATCTTGGAAATAGGTTCTTTCTTTAGTTGTCCTGGTGAACAATGGGATGAATATCACAAATGGTCGGGGGAAGGATAAACTGTGTATTTGAAATTGTAAGGAGATAGGTTGACATCTTCTTACTTCTGTTCCAAAAGAGTCCGACTTTATTGATGAGTGAGAGAGAAGACACTTTTATGTAGGCTACAAATATTTGGCAAGGGACTTCGTCAAGGTAGAGCCTGTTTTACACATGGATGTTTCTGTGTTGTGATTACAACAGTTTCCCCTAAACTTAAATGATATTCATACAGATTATTTTCTCCTAAGAGACTTTTCTGGAATCTTTTTAGAGTTTTATAATGCATAAGTATGAATCGGAGGTGGTTCTATTAGAAGATTCCCAAAGCATTTTGTTTTGGTTGTTTAAGGTTAAGTGATCGTGGGAATTGGGATGATTAACCCTTTGAAGACAAACAGTAATTATCTAAACTGCTAAGTTGACCTAAAAAATTGATTAAAGGTAATATCTGAAGTTGGAGTTCTGTCCTATGTGGCTTGAAGTCACACTCAAAGTTTTTAGGGCAAGTTGAGCAAGAAGGCATCATGCATAAGTTTTTCTGCTCAAATTGCGATTGAGCAGCAGCTGATCTCTTGATGGTTGTTCTAAGCAGCCCTAAAGTATTAGATATTAGGCAATGCTAATTTGCATCCTACTACCAATGTGGGAACTGGAAAAGTGGGGCTCGTTCTTGGAGATAGTTTAGTTTGGAAATTTGCGAGTAGGAGGGTAGGTTTATTGCTGAGCTAGAACAGGCTAACTTGCACAACCAGTTGAGTAATGGATAACCCAACTGATTCAAGCTGAGATTGAAAATAGAAGATGATCAGCATAACTATCTCAATTGGCTGGGATTGAAGCTGAGTTTCCCCTCAGTTCTGTAAAAGATCATTTGATAAGGAGAATGGTCACAGTTCTATAGGCACAATGAGAAAGCTGAGTGGATGAAATCAATAAAGTAATTTGAAGTATTATGTTGGAAAGGGAAACATCTATGTGGGTGGGACAATTAGGGGATTGGGTAGATATTTTAGTTTCAAACTATAGTTCACTCCTCTAGGTGCAGTGAGAAAGCTGAGTGGACGAAATCAATAAAGTAATTTGAAGTATTATTAAAAGATCATTTGATAGGAGAATGGTCACAGTTTAAATCAATAAAGTAATTTGAAGTATTATGTTGGAAAGGGAAACATCTATGTGGGTGGGACAATTAGGGGATTGGGTAGATATTTTAGTTTCAAACTATAGTTCACTCCTCTAGGTGCAGTGAGAAAGCTGAGTGGACGAAATCAATAAAGTAATTTGAAGTATTATGTTGGAAAGGGAAACATCTATGTGGGTGGGACAATTAGGGGATTGGGTAGATATTTTAGTTTCAAACTATAGTTCACTCCTCTAGGTGCAGTGAGAAAGCTGAGTGGACGAAATCAATAAAGTAATTTGAAGTATTATGTCGGAAAGGGAAATATCTGTGGGTGGGATGGTTAGGGGATTGGGGTGTGGGTAGAGATTTCAGTTTCAAACTATAGTTCACTCCTCTTCTTAAAAAGAAAAAATGATCTATGGAATTGCTTAGTGCTGTTAGTCTGTTGACATTCGGAGATGTGCTGATTTTATTTGGACTTCTAATTGTCAACGAGATGTCTGGAAACAGATTTCTGGAGCACTATTCCATTTCCCTGCTTGTGTAGCTGCTCCTGAAATATGTTTCCTCTTTCAAATCTTCTTTGAGACTTTTATTTTTGGTTAAGCTTTAACCTAAATTTAATATCTGCCTGAGAATTTATGCTCGTCCATTTTGAAATGAAAATGAGACCACAATATACTGTAAAACTTTCATCTTCCCGACCCTAATTGTGCTTTTAAATCCTAGATATTGAAGTTGATTTCTTCTGATCTCTCACATACTTTTCCCCTTGCAATTTGGGAACTGTAGACACGCCCTCATGCAACAGTTGAAGTGGAAATATCAGAAGATATGCAGCTGGTGCATTTCGACTTTAATAGGTAAGGTAGCATCTTCCTGCCTCATTAATAAAGCCAGATAATGCTTTTGTGATTGCCATGTATCTCACCATCATAAAGTCAGGTGCATGTTCAGTCATTAATGGATGACTGTTAACAGTTGTGGCACTATGTTTAAATCTGGTGCCAATGCATTATTTTGATATAAGAGATGGAGGTGGGGTTTGGATAAGAGGGTTCACGCCTTACAAAGAAGCAATACGAAAGCAAAGCAACTTTAGTAACATATTATAAACCATGTTTTGGAATTGTCCAACAAAATTATCGTTCCTAATTGTTTAACTAATGTTTTTCATTTCCTACTCCATTTTCAGCACCCCTTTTGAGCTGCATGATGATAATTATGTCCTTAAGGCAATGAAATTTTGTGAGAGACCACAGAGTGATGATATGGCACCCAATATAGCTACTGATGGAGGTGAAGGTTCTAGCATGTCCAACATGTATCAACAACAAATTCATCCTTCTCCGGGAACAAGCACACCAGTTAGGCCACCCACCTCACCACCTATTCCTGGAATTATAAAAGCACGCGTTAAGCATGAGCACTGATAAACATGTTTCCATGGGCTGTGATCTCTGCATGTGTCTGTAAATTGTGTAAAGTAGCTTGCTGGAGGTGGGAGTGCCCCTCTTTACCTTCACCTCCTCCTGATTTTACTCTCACTGGGAGGAATCAAGGTAACAAGCAGATGCATCTCCTTTTCTTGGAGATTTACATGGAATATTTAATTTTATCAGGTCCTCAGTTTTAGATCCATGGTTAGCTATTGTAATTGTTTAATCAATTTTTTATTTTGTCCTACCGTGGTAAAAATGAAGCTAATCTGTCAGTTTATATTAGGCTACAGGAGATTGTCTTAGCCGCACACAGAATCATAGAATTAAGTCAACAATTTGATATTCCTTGTATTGCACATTACATTTATGCCATCACTGTTTACTATAGCCAAAATTGTCTATTTGCGTCCTGTTATTTGCATCTCATGGCAGGGATCTTTGTGAGAAGATGAAAATAAACTAAAATACGAAAGATAATGTATTTATTTTGACATAATGATTTTGGATATTCCCAGTTCCTTGTCTGTTTCTGATACTCTGAAATTGAATGGTTAAACAGCAGCTATCATTTATAGTAGAGATGAGAATGTCTTTTTCCCTTCTTCCCTTGCATTTTCTTTTGGGGCTCTAGATGGTCCTGTTACCCTTTTTAGTTCTTAAGGGTTTCTGTTTCATTGCTCTACTGTGAGGGTTCATTGTACTCCTCATAAAAAACCGTGAGCTGTGCCGTGTGCCCACACTGAATCATCGTGGGGTTTACAGGTGGAGTTGGTTCTGTGGACCTGCTTGCTATTCGTTTTTGTTTTATCATGGTGATGTGTGTACAGAAAAGGAGGGAATTTTCTCGACGGGGAGCATATTGGTTGGCCTACGAAAAAGCAAGCACAGGCATTTCTTTAGTACTAATGGTCCAAATTTTCATTACTCCATCGAACGTAATTAAATTCGATGGACTATGAGATTAGGGTTGACTGTTCAAATCGCTAAACTTATAGTTTTATACAATATTAATCCTGATAACGTAATTTTTAATAAAAAATTATTAAAATAACTAGAACAGCTAATTTTGCCGAACATGCGAACTTTCGTACAAGACTCTTTGTTAAATAGGCGTATTGTCGTACAAAGGCTCTTTTAAGAAATGCGGTTAAGAGCCGGACAGAGGGTCGATTTCAATCAGTTTCAAGTTGGTTCAACCAACTTTGGCTGATTTTTCAAGCATACAATACAAACTGTACTATTTATTTTATTTAAGACTTGAAAAGGTACATCACGTTATATATCTGTAATTCTTTAATTCATAATACAAGCAATTAAAATTAAGTAATATGATAATTTTGGTGGTTGAATAATTTCTAAAATAAACCAATAATCCATCTAATTTTTCCTTTTCCATTTCAAATTTTCGAACAACAAATAAGAAATCGTTGAAATATGATGCTTTATCAAACTTTCACGGTTAGAAGATTAGCAAAAAAGAAAATATCTTATCTCTGAAAAATAAACCGCAAATGGAAATAGAAAAGGACCTTTCTTTCTCTTGTAAATGTTTGGAGAGGGAAGATCTTTCCTTATCCCTGTTTTTTTTTTAATTTGTGGCTGGTGAAATTGTGATAATACCGGTAAGATGATCAGGTGATAACCTGTTGTCAAAAATTACGTGTCATTCTCTAATTTGGCAGTCAGTTAGATTCCCACGTGATTATCACTCTACATCACGTGGCACTCAACTTTTCAGTTCATGTATCTTTCGCATCTTCCTTCACCAAGTAATTTCGGGATAAAAATTACCTAATTTTATAAAAATTATTATTGTTTTATTTTTTTTCCGGTGAATAGTTAAACCTGCCCCTGCCGCTCGTTTTTAAATAAAAAAAAAAATATTTTTAATTATTTAATATATAAAATAGGTCTATATATTGAATGTAAGTAAATCTTTCCATTGTATATAAAGGTTATATATAATAATGTAGCTGCTCTACATTATAGCAATATGCATATGATGTTGATATAGCCAAGGTGCTGTTTATCTGCATTTGCACCTGCAGCTTTTTTCAGTCTCCTCTCTCTCTCTCTCTCTCTCGACATGGGATATGAATACAGGTGCAGGTGCTAACTGCAGACAAATGCCATCTTGGTTCTCTGCTCTGCCTCTTCAACGTCTAAATATTTGGAGCAAAGTTTGGAATATTGATCCTTTATCTCATCATGACTGACTTCCATATCTATCTATCTTTGGTTATTGATCATGCATTTTTTCCTGTTTAATCAATTGTTTATATATCATAAGCAAATGTAGATTTTATGTTTCAATTTCTAATTTATTTAATTTTCGTTCACTTCCATGATTTCAATCGGTATTATCGAAAACATATCTGTTAGATAACGGATTCAGTGTGAGAATGATAATATTATTTATCTGGAAAGAGAATTTGATCTTATTAACTGTAAATGCTAAATTCACGAAGCAAACAGCTTTGATGGCTTTCTGTTGAAATGTGATTTGATGTTCTATGAGTAGATGCTGTAAGTGCTAATGTGATGTGCTCAAGTTTCTTTCTATGTACATATAATAGAACGACTGAGGATTAACTTGCCTTTTTGATTAGTGATTATCAATCATTATAACAAAAATATACTTTAAACTACTTCTTGAGCATCACATTATCAATTTATGCATAAACAACTTTGCAATCAATCATATGAACAATTTAATGAAATCAATCACTATATAGAAGAAACAAAAATCCACATTGCTTGAATGATTTTAATTTAAATTTCATTTTTGATAATGGAATCAATGGGAATATTCACATTATTTCTTATATATTTTATTTTATGGAATAGCAAAATTAACAATATAAGAAGATCTTTCTTCAAAAAACAAAAAAAATATATATAGGAAAAGCCTTTAAGTAGTGATATGGGTCCAAGAACATAGTAAATTATCCGATTAGCTGTGATTTGATTGGTCTTTTAATTTTTGATTTGGGTTTTAGTTTTCTGCTCGACAAGAGTGTCTAATTAAAAAAAATAAAATAAAAAGGAATACAATTATGCAAAATGAAAAGGAGAAAAAGGAAAAAGATAGATATAAGATGACATAAAACATGGGCCTGCCAATGTAACCTCAATCACTTGGGCTAGGGATAATGAATAAAATGGGTCCATATATTCAACGACGTCGCTCAATGAGGGTAATTGCAACGACGTCGGTTTATGTTTTTGATATAAATAAAACAGACAAACATCTTTAAGTTTCTTCCTTTTGGGTCTCCTGGATCAATCGTCTAGGGTTTTTCGGTTAAACCCCTCGAAAAACCTAAGTCTGCATAAAAATGGGAGGCAAATGTCCGAGCCGGAAAGTGAAGAAGAGAAGATACTCTCACAAGACGGCTCGCCGCTCCAAGTTCCTCGTTAAAGATATCCTTTGTTTTCTTTTAGTTAAAAATTTAATTTAATGTTTTCTTCTTCGTGGTTAATCCAAATTTCTCTCAATTTCTTGCACGGTAGTGTGATTCTTTGACTAGTTGTTGTTTTGGTTACGTGACGATGCGGTGTATGAGGAGCTGCAAAAGCCTGATGTGGAGAAGAAGTCCTTGCCTCTAGACGAGGACTTGCCTGGCATGGGCCAATATTATTGCTTGCACTGCGAGTAAGTTAATTCGAATTGAGGTTAAATATGTACTAACAAAATCATCTGATAGGAATTGTTTGAAATGCTTTATTTTTGTTTGGTTGCTTTATTTTCTCTGAGATTGAAATTTGACCCACTTGGTTTCTTTAGTTGATTGTTGTTGACTGGTTGATTTGGTGGTTTCTCGTTTCAGCCGATACTTTGCTAATGTGACTGTGAGGGACGAGCATTTCAAGACCAAACGCCACAGAAAGCGGTAAGCTGTTCGAAGTTTGTTTCTTGAATTTTATATTAAGTTGCAGATATATTGTCCATTTTTTAGCACTTTTCATTTAGTGTACTTTATTGATCTTTAATCAATTAAGTACAGTACCATATTAGACTGTTCAATCCCATTTGTGCAAGTTCATGGTAGAGCAAATGGTTAAGTAACTAAACTTGCCAGGGGAAGGAGGAACCTGCTGATTTACTCTGGTTGTAAACTTAAAACAACTGCATATAGCTGCTCTATCAAATCAAATACTTATGTGAAGTATTTATTTCTTCTTCTTGGCCAAATGTTTGATGAACAGGACTGTTCTATTGTCCAGTCCGAACTCATAAAATGCTCATCCATGACATGACTACTTGAATCTTCACTGACAGTTAACTACTATATGTACTTATTATTATAATTGATCTGCTTAAAACACCTGAAATTGTTATTTTGTTTCCATATTAATGTTACTTGGCTTCAAGAGGTGAAAAAAAAAAAGCTTGGATAAACACTGAAGTATCATTTACTGGGACACAATCTAATATGCATATTCAGGAAGTTTGACCTGGACTAGGACCTTCACCTGCTAAGTGCTGACTGAAAGTGAAATATAATGCTTGTGTCTGCATATCTTAGAATTATAACCGAAAGTTTTCATTTGATGTACTTTTGCAAAATGCAGTTTGAAGCAAATGATGGGACCTGCACCGCACACTCAACTTGATGCTGACTTAGCTGGTGGGATGGGTATGCCAGATAATGGTCCTAAGCTTATGTCGATGTGAGCTTTCTGTTTTTCTCTTTTCATATATATGTTTACAGACAAGTGTGTCAAGAATGCGTTGGGAGAGGATATCTGGAGTTGTAAAAGTGGTATCTATAGTGGTAGATTCTTGTATTTCTGAAAAAGTAATAGTAATTAATTTTCTTGGTATACTGTATCTGTATGCTATGTTATGCGTTCTTTCTCATGTTCCATCATTTGCTTCTGCAGATATTGATTTTTGTAAAAGTTTTACTTCTTTGTTTCTCATGTATTATGGATTATGTTTTGGATGCATTTCTAATTTACTATAATCAATAATGTAATCCGATGCCTAAAATCCATTTTGGATTGGACCTTTCTCTTTCGGCAATTGCTTTTTCCTGTTGTGGAATGATTTTTTTTTTTTTTTTTTTTTTTCTTTCTGTTTTTTTCTTCTCTTTTCCATATAATATGTTTACAGACAAGTTGTAAGAATGCGTTTGGGAGGGATATCTGGAGTTGTAAAGTGGTATCTATAGTTGGTAATTCTTGTATTTCTGAAAAGTAATAGTAATTAATTTTCTTGGTATACTGTATCTGTATGCTCATGTTATGCCGTTTCTTTCTCATGTTCCAATCATTTGGCTTCTGCAGATATTGATTTTTGTAAAAGTTTTCTTCCTTTGTTTTCCTCAATATGTATTATGGATTATGTTTTGGATGCATTTCTAATTTACTATAATCAATATGTAAATCCGTGCCTAACAATCATTTTGGGATTGGACCTTTTCTCTTTCGGCAATTGCTTTTGTCCTGTTGTTGGAATGATTTTTTTTTTTTTTTTTTTTTTTATTCCATAGAAATTGATGAAACTAGAAGATTAGTTTGACGATATCATCCTATGGAGTTTTTTTTTTTTTTTTTTTTTTTTATTCCCATGACAATTATGAAACTAGAAGATTAGTTGACGATATCATTCCTATGAGGAGATTTCTACAACAAAGGTTGTATTATGGTTGTTAGGATCAATTTTTTATCTAATAGTTGGATTATGAACCTGGAGTCTCTCTCTCTCTCTCTCTTTCTCTCTCTCTCTCGTCTAGTCATTTTTTGCTGAGCCTCATTTGATCCCTAGTTTATTAAGGCACCTCCTACTACGTTGGCAGACAAAAGTACTGATTTCAGTACTAAAATCTTGTAAGGGATGGGATGCTCGAGTTCATAGAATGAGTTTGGGTTAGGTTAGTCATGTGATCATAGATTGGTGTCTCCCTCTATCTCCTAGTCTACAAATAGTTTTCCAGCACATGGTAGTGGAATAGAGAAAATGAACTAAGCGCTTGTTGGAAGAACATAACGAATAATGACAGGATGATAATCCCAGGGTTTGCATACAAAATTTTACCTCCATCACATTCTATTATGGTATATTAATAAACCACTCCTGGATTGGGCTTTAGATTGTGCTGGTCCCGAAATCGCATGAACTTTTCTTGCCATTAGATCTGCAAATTATTGTTAGGGTTTTTCGGATATACCATTTTTTTTTACTTGATATCTCTGGAAAGGGTTACCAATTAGTCAACCTTGCATTGGAACTCAAATTTTGTATATCCTTTCTTGTCTGTCATGGAAAATTGTGATTTTGTCAAATGGATCTCTCTTAAGTATGATTTCCACTTTCCATCTATTTCACTATTTGCTTGCAGGAAAATATTTCTGTGGTCACATGCACACACTGTAACTGAAATTTTTGAAGGTATAAACCTTCAATTTTTCTTAAGTTAGTCCTCTACCCTGTTCAACAAGTCCAGGGTTCAATTAAGCTTTCGCCAATTTGATGGCAAATGAAGCCTTTTTTCCTCTTAGTACTATTGTTTTAGGTCATTTTTTTGATATGGGTGACAGTTTGAAATAAAAAAAAATGGCATTCGTATACTTGTGGCAAATAAAAATTCCCGTGTTTGTGTTGACTTGTCTCAATTGCATGGAAGTACATTAATTTCTTATTTTTGTCTGTCTGTTTAGTCTCCTTTCTACAATTAATTACTTATAATTAATAATTTAAGGTCCCAGTGGCTTTATCAGTATATCATGGTTTCTGACTCTGATATTGTTTTATCTGGTGGAAACAAGACCTTAAGACATAAGGTATGCAGTTTTGTCCTTAAAGCCAGGAGCTGATAAAGGACTTCCATTATTAGGAAGTGGAAGTTTCTCGTTGCTATTTTTCTTGTCTTTCTGGATTTTTATTTGTTGGCCCTTTCTTCTCATATTATGTTTCTGTAAATACCTTGTGGTCTGGATTTTGGTTGGTTGCTCTTGTAATCTTGGGCTACTTCTGTCAGCTCTCCTGCATCCACAGCCACTTTTTCAGTTTTTCTTTTACAGGAGGGATGAAGTTATTCGTTTTTTTCTCTTTTTCTTTTTTCTTTTTGTTTTTTAATATAAAAGCCACAGAATTTAATTTTAGAAATTATCAGTATACAAGAAATTAAACTTCAATACTTTAATTTAATAAATTATTAGAGATTAGCATTCAATTTAATCTGATTTGTATAGTATTTTTGTAATCTTCATATCTGACCTTACCTTTCAATACTTCAAAACCAAACAACACAAGATTATAAGGTGATTTGACTTGAATTAAAAGCTGTTTTACCTTTCTACATGGGAAGGTCAGTACATTATTGCAGAAGCAAAGAAAGAAGAAGAGCATCATATATTTCAGGCACTCGTGTCTCTCTTATTGTCTTTCAGTATTTGCCACTTCCGATCCAGACAAGAACAATAGTTATAGTCAGTAGTTTGCAGTGTCACTACCCAATGTCACTCCAATTGCAAAAAATTGCTCTCTCATCACTTGAAAACAAAATAAAAACAAAAAACAGAACACCACCACCACCACCACCACCATCATTATCAGTTCAAAACCCCATCTATCTTTTGCCACTAACATCCTTGGATTTCTTTTTTACTACAAAGAGATTAGGTATGGCCCATACAGTGGACACATAGACCATAGCATAGCATCCCATGAGAACCCAAAATGTAGATCAAACACCATCATCTCTTCCCTGTCATTTTCTGCAAGGCTGAAATCTTCATATCCTAAACTTTTCTCTCACGCCTGTCTACCACAAGCCTATTGCTTCAATAATAATAATAATAATGATGCATGATTTATTGATTCCTTTAATGTCTCTTTCTTATCATTTTCTTTCCCTCTTTCTTACCCTGTTTCCTTATGTTGCTATCTTGTCCTTATTAAACCTCAAATGCACATGTACAACCCACCATGTGAACTTGGACACTCAAGAAAATAATTTTGCTCCCTACATCTCTCCACATCAAAAAAAATAAATGCATACCCAATTTAGATCAAGGTTTTATGATTTCAAATTGCCACCAATTTATTACTTAAATTTCGGATTGTGAAGCATAATGCTCACACCATGTTATTGATCTGGCCTACATATCATAAACAACAACTCAGATTGTTTTTCAACCTGGTGTCGGATAATGATCGAATTCTAAAATGTATGATTGATGTTTGGGAAATATTTACTGGGATCCGATGCAAGATTTGATAGATAATAGAGATTTGGACATTTTTGTTCTAGTACATATCCAGTTGTACGTTAAATTGTAGGGTCTGTGAAGTCTGGACACCTTTCTTTTTCTCAATTATTTTCCAACATCAGGTATCTTCCCATGCCAACAACTTCATCAACGTGGAACAGACAAAGCAATGCACGAGGGATGCCTCTAATGGATCAATCCCTTTCTTTCTTTCTTTTTCCTTTTTTCTTTTTGGGTAAATACATAAAATCACTATATTTCAATCTCATCAAAGCATTTGTCATAATTGTTTCCTTAGTGAAAGATTCATGAGATTAGAAAATATATGGTAAAAAATAATTAGATAATACACAATACTATACTATACCATGGCATTAAAACTGAAACCACAAAAGAAAAAAATAAAAGCTCAAAAATCATAAGGGGTATGCAGAATATACTCCTCTTACTGGTAGTGCTTTCGCTTGATCTCTTTATGCTTCTCTTTCTTCGTCTTTCGGTCTAGCCGAAGAACTTGAACCTGAAGTCATTCCAATGACTTGACTATGTGTAAACCTTTGTAACTGTATCATTCTTGCATAACACCCATCAGGATAATTTTTCAACAAATGGGAATGAGATCCTTGTTCTGCCACTTTCCCATCATCGATAACAGCAATGACATGTGCATTTCTTATAGTTGATAGTCTATGTGCAACTATAATAGTGGTTTTACCAGAACAAGCTCGGTCTAGAGCTTCCTGTACAGATCTTTCAGACTCAGCATCTAATGCACTTGTTGCCTCATCAAGTAGCATAAGTTCTGCTTTTCTAACTAAAGCACGAGCTATGGCAATTCTCTGCTTCTGTCCACCAGATAATTGAACTCCTCTCTCACCTACAAATGTTTTATATCCATCTGGCAATCCTGATATGAACTTATGAGCATTGGCTAAAGTAGCAGCTTCAATGATTTCAGCTTCAGTTGCTGATTCATGACCATAGGCAATGTTTTCATAAATGCTAGTAGCAAAGAGGCATGGCTCCTGAGGAACTATAGCCATGTGCTTTCTTAGGGACTTGAGATTGTATTTTCTAATGTCTTTCCCATCAATCATAACTCTTCCTGATGATGGCTCGTAGAATCGCTGCACAAGTGCAATGACTGAACTCTTACCACATCCACTAGGACCTACAAGTGCAAGAGTTTTTCCAGCTCGTGCACGGAGATTTAAATCACTAAAAACTGGTACATCAGGCCTAGTTGGATAAGAAAAATCTACATGCTTCAGTTCAACTTCTCCGCGAAGACGGTCAGGAACTGCAGTTGCATCTGGATCGTCAGGTTCAATTTCAGTTTTACGGTCAAGTAGGTCGAAAACTGAGCGCATTGCTCGACCACCCTTGATAAAGTCAGGAGCTAAGGTTAATGTTTCAGCTGCACCATTGGCAGAAACCATAAGGACCATGAAAACTCGGATTGTCTTTGAGAAATCAGAGATTCCATGCTTCACAAGCCAGGATGCGTACCAAAGGCCAAGAGCATACGAAGCATAGAGAGAAAACTGAGCTATTCCAAATCCACTTCCAGCTATCTGACCCTTCCAAAAGCAACGGCGTAGAGGAGTCTGAAGGTTGGTGGCGAAAAGACCAACTATTTGGGATTCTGAATTGAAGGCAGCAACAGTCCTTAAATTGGCTATGGCCTCACCTGCCAGTTGTGTGGCTTTGGCGTGTGTAGCTTCTAGGTCGCCAGAGAAACCCGTCATGAACATTTTCTGTTGAAAATGCATCAAAAAAGTCAGCAAATTTGATGAATAGTTTCAGTTATCTCAAAACCCTATCAAATCCAGTCCACATTGCTATTATCAGTTTTAGCTGTACTTGGACTTGCAAGTTGGAAAACAAACCTGTAGAACATTGGCTGCAACAACCAAAGGGAAAACAGCTATAAGCACAAGGGCTAGACGCCACTGCAAAACAAACCCAGCTGTGCAAGCAACAAGCATCAATGCTGTATTTTGCACAATCACTGAAATTCTATCTCCAATGGCTGATCTGACATTGTTTGCATCAAGAGTTAATCTCCCTGCAATCCTAGCACTCTCATTTTCCTCTTGATCAAACCATGCCATTTCATTTTTAAGTACTGCAGCTAGCATTTTCTCCCTCACTCGTTTTGTAAGATTTTCTCCGACAATGTCCCAGAAGGAATGCTGCATTGTATTGAAGATTAGAGCAGCTGATGAGAGCCCAATTAACAAATAGCAGTATTTTCCAATTTCTCTGCTCATGTAAGAATGGTCTGGATTATAGTAAACGCTGAGGACAGCACTGAGAACATAGGCAAAGAAGGCACTGAGGGAGCCACAAACAACTGAGCCTACAGAACCAGCCAGTGCATAAAACCATTCAGGAGAGTTCATCTTTGCAAGGCGCCAGAATGAACTAGCTTGCTCTTTGAAAGCAAGCTTTTCAAGTCGGTAATTGGGGTGTGCAGCGTCAAGGGAGAGACTAAAATCTGATGTAGAGAAATCAGATAGCCTGCGCGAGTAGGGTGATCTTCCATAAGAAGAATTACGTGCAATAATTGGAGAGCTTACTGAGTTCCTTGCACTTGAGGGTCTGCAGACGAAAGAACCATGTTAGTTTAGATCACAACAATATATATATATATGGAATACCAAAAGACCGATAGAACAGAAGTCTTAAAACTTGATTTAAGTTGATGGAAGGACCTTGCACTACTCTTTCTGGCATTGTTCAAAGCTGTTTCATGAGCTGCCTCTTGCATTCTGATGAGCTTAGCATAAACACCATTCTCTCCTTTGGCAATGAGCTCATCATGGGTGCCGATTTCAGTGACACTACCTTGCTGTAGTACAGCTACAAGATCAGCCTTGCGAATGGTGGAGAGCCTGTGGGCAATGACAAGAGTTGTCCTGCCAATCATGAATCTGTCAAGGGCCTCCTGCACTAGTTTTTCTGACTCAGAATCCAATGCACTTGTCGCCTCATCCAAAAGAAGAATTGCCGGGTTCTTCAGCATTGCCCTTGCTATAGCTATCCTCTGCTTCTGCCCTCCAGACAGCTGCAAACCTCTCTCACCTACCTGCCATTTTAAATATTATCTTATACTGATGCTCGCTGGTGTTTCCAGATAAATTTTATAAGCTCCATTCGTTCCAGTAAGACACAGAAAAATGGTAAAAAAAAAAAAAAAAAAAAAAAAAAATGCTTCTGCCTCCAGGACAGCTGCAACCTGCTCTCACCTACCTGCCATTTTAAATATTTATCTTATCTGTGCTCGCTGGTTTTCGCAGATAAAAATTTTATAAGCTCCATTCGTGTCCAGTAAGACACAGAAATGGTAAAAAAAAAAAAAAAAAAAAAGAACTTGGGTTTGGATACATAAAAGCTTTGCCTCTAGTAAGATATTTTGTCCATTTCCTCTTCAAACCTACTCAACATATGATTAAATTAGGTGGCTGCATCATTAAGCAATAAGTTATTAATCATAAAACAAAAAAAAAAAAAAAAAAAAAAAAAAAAGAACTTGTGCTACATAAAAGCTTTGCTCTGAGTAAGATATTTTGTCCATTTCCTCTTCAAACCTACTCAACATATGATTAAATTAGGTGGTGATCAATTAAGCATAAGTTAATTATCATAAAACATTCTTCATCTTTTTATCTCCTTTCGAGATTTTTCAGCCAGTTAGTTGTAAATATGCAAGTGCTAAATTTTAACTAAAGGTCAAAAATATTTCTTGCTTACTGATGTTCATATTGATTTTCTATATGTTTTCTGAAAGATATTAATTTAACTTCCTCCTTGCTGAATAAATAGTATCTAAATAAATAATTTAAACATTAATCCTTCCAGTTATTTCTTCCCACCTGTCATCTTCAAGTTATCTACTTTCTCGGTCAACATCATAAAGATTCTTATTCTCCTTCTAAGGTTCAATTTTTTATTTGCCCATGGATTAGACTAACATATTTAATGAAGACTTCAGGCTTTTTTTTATTATTATTGTCTATTTTTCCCTTATTTTCTGCATAGATATATTAAACCATATGCACATGGATTGTGGACTGAAGCATGTTACCTTCCTTCAAATGCATGACTGACCAAAACACATCCCTACATTGACTTTCAGAAAACAAAATGAAGTTAGGTTAAGTTTGTTGACCAAATAAGCTAATGCAATCTTCAAGACCCTAAATATTGTGTAGCAACTAGCAATTATGTGTCATAAAAATAATCTAACCAACCATGATCCCCACTATTCAATATCCATCATTTCATTTCACTTTCTGGAGCAACCAACTTTACCCCACCTCATCTCCCTCACTTGACATAAAGATAATGTATTCACTTGCACAGGATTCTACTCATCTAAGCAATTATTATGGTTGGATATTAATTGAGTAGTTAGCCACTTAATTCAATTTACTTGGGAGATTTTGATTTCAACTTCAGAGACTCCAAATTTTTTAAGTGAACAGAGCAAGTTTATGTCTAAGATGATATTAACGGACTTAAACCAACACACCTGAGTGTCAAAGCCTTCAGGTAGCTTCACAATAAATGAATGGGCATTGGCAACTCTAGCAGCTTCTTCAATTTCAATTTGATCTGCGTCAGGCCTACCCAACAGTATATTTTCTTTAATGCTGGTGGCAAATAGAGCAGGCTCTTGGCTAACAAGTCCTATTTGTTGTCTCAACCATCTCAACTTAAATGTCTTTATATCATGCCCATCTAGCAGAACTTGCCCTGTACATAAAAATATTGATTTTTATTACAAAACAAATAAATACCCACATAGACTACGTGAATTCAAGAATCAAATATAACTACAATTGGCAGATACCTATCAACTTTGTCAAGAAAAAGAACAGCATTTCTAAAAGTAAAGATATCAGCTCTATTAATGTAAAATGAAATTATAGCAGCACAATAATTTACCTGCGTCAGGATCGTAGAATCTTTCAATGAGGGAGACGACAGTGCTTTTACCAGAGCCACTACTGCCAACCAAAGCTATAGTCTTGCCAGCGGGAACATTGAGTGTAAAATTGTTGAGAATCCGAACATCTGGCCTTGATGGATAAGAGAAATCTACATTTTTCAGTTCTACTAGTCCAGTAACTGAGTCTAACTCCAACCCTGACTCGCTGTTTCGATCAACAGCTGGTTTATGATCAATTATTCGAAAAATCTTTGCAGCTGAAGCTTTAGCTTTGGCAAATGCACCCATGCTAGGAGCAGATTGGCCTAAAGCCCTGCCAATCAAAAGATAGAAGAAAAAAGAGAGATTAAATTAAAGAAATGTGTCAAAATTCTGTAACTGGCAGCAACCGTAGATAGAACACTTACAGTCCTCCGATCATGACAGAAAACATAGTGGTTATAGCTAGTCCTCCATTGGTATAATGATGTCTAACAAGATAACCCCCATACCAGAGAAGCAGAGCATAGCAGCAGAACACAACAAAATAAGTTGCACCCAATCCCATTCCCTTCACAAATCCACTTTTATAACCGATTCTTTGAGCCACCTTCAATGCTGATGAATAGGCTTGTAATGCTCTTGATTCCCCAACAAATGCCATAACAACTCTAATTTGAACAACGGTCTGCAAGTTTGCTTAGATTAGCAAATACCCAGATGCAAATATGGAGAATTTTTTTTCCAAAAAGTGCTCTTCAAGTTTTATGCCATATACCCCAAAACAGAGAATAAAAATTACCAATTTACCTGTTCTACAATATTTCCTGCTTGTGACAGAGCTTCTTGGCTCTTGCTAGAAAGCTTGGTTAATGTGGTTGTATGGATAGCTGCAATTACAGCAATAAGAGGAACAACTGCAAGAGTGACTAGTCCTAATTGCCACACAGCAGTAAAACCCACTATAAATCCAGACACAAATGTCGCCATATAATGAATGAAATTGCCCAACTGCATATGAAAAGAAGAAAAACAAAGGTTAGAAAGATCACATTTTTATCCGACTCATCACAAACTCAATAATACTGAAACAGAAGATGGGTGGGGGTGTTGGGGTGGTGCTCTGTTCTGTTTTACCTTCTCACTAATGGCGTCCTGGACCATCACTGCATCACTGTTAATGGCAAAAACGACATCAGAGGTGCGAACTTCGGTATCAAAGTACTGGATGTCCTGGTTTAAAGCTGCTTCTAAGTACTTGATCCTCATCCTAGTTGATTGCCTCTCTCCAGTCCACATCCAACAAGATATTTCTGTATTCAATTCAAAAACTCTGTTTTTCACTTCACATTAACAGATAAGCCAAAAAAAAAAACTGTAAAAACAGAACGCATTAAGGAGTTGAGACAGAGTAGTAAACCACCTGCCCAAGAAGATGCCCAAATTGCAGCTCCAACAATGAGAAAATAAAATGCATACTGCAAATTTCAGAAATTAATTATTAATTTAATTTGGTTAGGATAAGAGATCAAAATTGAATTCTTTTCTTTTCCCTTTTCTTAAAAATTTTACCTTCAAAACTTCTTGCATCATCTTATCCATGTCATTGGCATTAGACCCAAAAGAGTTAACAAGATCAGCAAAGAACCTAAGAAAGAGAGGCAAAGAAGAGCCATGTACAAAAGCACCAACAGAACCAATTGCCATCAAAACATAATCTAACCCATCAGCAAATCTAAAAAGCTGCCCAAACCCAACGGTAGCAACATCCCCTGGCTTTTCTCCGTTACCACTGTTACTACTACTAGTAGTAGTAATATTACTAGAAGAACCAGTGCTATCTTTCTGAGGCTCCATTTCTTTTGTGTCTAGTAGAGTTTCCTGATGGTTTTGGTCTTGTTGGTCTTGTGTGTTGTTTATTGTTAAAGTTGGGTTGGTTTTAAAAGGTTCAGAAGAGGGAGGAGCAGAAGACACGAGTTCAAGGCCTTGCATTTCGGACCATTTCCACTGCTCAATCGTCTTTATCTCCTGAGACTCTTGTGACATTTGCTATAAAAAAAGGGGGAAAATTCTCTCTCTTTAGCTTAGCTTAATTTAGCTTTATTGAAACAACAAAACCCACCACCATCCTCCACACCCCTTCTTCCCTCTCTTCTTTATTATCTCTCTCTCTCTCTCTCTCTCAACTTCTGTCCATCTATCTGTCTTTGGAGCTCATGTTCTTTTTCCTATCTCTCCCTCTTTTTTATTCACTTTCTTGGGTTTTTCTTCTTTCCTTTTTCTTTTTTCACTCTCCCCCTCTTTTCTTCAAGATTTTACTCTTCTTCTATATAGTACCTTTTCAATATAAAGACCAAATGAGTTTTGCTCATATTGTAAAAGGTAAAAACATTGAAAATGAAAGAAACAAAGTGAAAGAAGATTTTTTTTTTTTTCTGAAATTTTTTCCTTTCCTATATTGCACTCAATCTTCTTCAATTAAAAAGAATAATAAAGTTTTGCTTATATTGTAAACAACATGGAAAGTGACAGAAGCAGAGTAAGAAAAACAGAGTGGGATAGAGAGAGAGAGTTTTCCACTCCACCCGACAATGAAGACTGTGTGAAACTTGGAGATGGGGTTTTGACCTGAACAGCTTCTAAGTGGAAAAACCAATATGAGTTTACTATTATTATTACGATTAGTACTTTTTTTATAGAAAAAAAGAACAAACTGATTGGATCCAAGAACCATGAACCGTTGGCTCGGTTTCTTTCTCGATCTTGGTTTTCCGTTTCCTGAGTTAAAAGATAAAAAATCTTTTTGGCTTCTTCTGCAAGTTAAAGAGAGACTCTGTAAAAAGTTGAAACAAAAAAATTGAAGTTTCCAAGTTCATATATACTTTCCTTCCCTTCCCTTTAAACCCGGCGTCCTTTCCTGCAAAAGCCAATTGTTAAGTTTAGATTAATAACAGTAATCATAATAATAATTAATAATATATAATTATAACGTTTTAATTTATTTTTTCACATTCAACCAAGCACCACCTTTCTTGCTTTCTCTGTTTTCTTCTGCCTTTATTCTGTTTCTGTCACAGAGCCTCTCTCATGTGAATCTGCACTCGAATTCTTACCCTTCTCTTCTCTCAGCCAGTTTATGTTATTATTTGATTGATCGTTGAGTTTTTCATGCTAAATATTTAATAATCAATAAATAAAATTTCTGTCACATCGATCAAGAAATGGAACTATGATAATAAAATTAATTATGAAAATTATTTGCATAAATACAGGTTGGTAGCTATCAATATCTAATAGTCTCAGGTTGCAACTAAATGATTAAACGTTGCTAAGATATATGATATTAATACATGATATAAACATATTAAAGCAATGTTTCAAACACATGAATAATATTGTAACATGTTTTATTTAAGGATGTGCCTCTCTTTCTATTACATATCATGTGGATAAAATTAACTATTTAAATAGTTGTTAAAAGTAAGTTTTTTTTACACTTTTATTTATATTTTATTAAAAGTTAAGGGGAATAGCGATTCATAACATACTCATTCAAACTTTAACCATTAGTATAAACGCGACGTCACTAAATATTATAAATAATAGCCAGTTATTCAACAAAAATTGTGTTCGGAACAGTTTTTTTAAGTAACTTCTAACTAGTTAAAATGTTAAACTTTTATAATGTTTGGCAATTTGAACTAGCTTTTAAAGGTTAAAATATCGTTTTATAAAAGGTTAATTCATATAACGTTCAGCTTTTAGAATTTTACGAAAAAATTCTCAAACAGTTATTGGCTACATAAACAACTACAAATGCTATTAAAACAGTTAATATCAAATGTATGGGTTTAACATAAAAGTATATAGCATTTTCATTTGCAAGTTGCAACTTGATTTCACATTTTAGATTAGACAAATGCTAAATGGTGATGACCAAAATCTTTCCCTCTAGTATGAAAAAAAAAATACTATAGATGATGAATTAAAATATTTATAATGATAATTTATTAAATCTTGTGATTGTTGGTAAAAAGTGTGAATCTAAACTCTAGCTATATATGTCAAATTGGGCAGCTAGGATGTATTTGTCCATGTGTTGTGTTGTGTGGTTCAGCTTCCAAACATTCTAGTAAAATTATAAAAATCTAAAATGTTAAAATTTCCACTTTTGTGTCAGTCCAAAACTATTTTTGTTCTAAAACTTAATATGAAGGAAGGAAGTGAGATTCCAATAAAATTGTCAGAACATCTTTTGCAAATCTTGGGATTCCTCTAAAATTGACAGCAAATTAACCCATTTTTTTAATATTTAACCTATTTTTTAGGGTAATGTTGCTTTAATCATATGGCTTTGGAGGTTTAATTTTTCTTTTTTGGCTTATAATAGAATATAAAATATAGAATGCAAATGACAAAAGTAAAGTAAAGGCTGACATTTCTCACACTATAAATTCCTCAAAGTGGCAATATTATTTATTTCTTATAATTATTTCATTTTCAAGGGGAGTATTAATTAGATTATATAAAAATAAAGAAATAAAAATTGAAGTTCATTTATGGTTTAAAGAAGAAAAAGGAAAAGGAAAGTGGGTTTTGTATCTTTCTCTCTTTTCACGCATTGACAGACGGTACCGATGCTGGTTTTCTCTGCAAGTTCTCCTGGTCAAGGCTCTTTCTTTCTCTCTGGCTTTGCGTTTCATCCATGGCACTTGTCCATCTTCTGCTATAATAAATTGAAGTACATCTTTTTTAGATAAATATTTACTTCTTGTTTATTTCTACTCTAGTACATTTGCTAATGCCAATTTTTTTTCTTGAATTTCTAGTACGTTTATTGTCTATTTATATGTATTTTAGTTCGGTTTTAAGTTTCAAAATTCTTGCTCGGCATTTATTTTTTTATTTTTTTATCTAGAATAGTCAGAAATATTATAAATGCTTGTATCTAAACTCAGAGAATGACATATTACAATCTCTTAATCCAATATACTCCCTTTGTCCTAAAATATAAGTCGTTTTGTGTATTTTAAAACATAATAAATGATGTTTTTCCGATGTTGTTATTGTTTACACTAAATACGATAAATACTTCACAAATAACTATTGATTTTAAGATAAATATTTGTGCAAAAACCTTAAACGACTTATATTTTAGAAAAGAGGGAGTAATATTTTCTTACAAATTTCATTACAATCAAGAGTAAAAAGTGTTTAGTCATTTATTAATATGGAAAATAGAAGGTCTCGAGTCCTCTAGAACTGACCTGATGAGTTGAAGGAAGAGCTCCTCTATATTGTGTAGCTCATATTACTCGCACCCTATTGGACCTCCTAATAAAAAAAAAAAAAAGTATTTCTTCAATATGAGTAGTCTAAGAAATACCTTTTAATATTTATAATCTTTCTTTTTATATAATTAGTGACTTACATTCCCAATTACCATTTAATACAAATATATATGTCTTATTACAAATCTAGTAGAGTACAATATTTTAAAAGATACATAACAAAAGAAAACTTCCAAAACTGTGACTGAGCCAAGTCTCCTCCTTTGCTCCATTCTTAGTTAGAATAGATCAATTGAAAGCCAATTTGAAGAGGGAAAAAAAAGAAATTGAAGTATTGCATAACAGGTGAGACATTCTACTTAAAGAAGTAAGGCTCCCATCAATGTGATGTAACATAGAAAATAAATCCCAACTACTCCCTCACAAGGACATAGACTTGGGTAACTATAAATAAGGAAACAAGTAAAAATTTGTGTGTAACAAGTATAGTAGGAAGCTTCAATTTGATGTCATGATTGTTGTCCTCTAGCTATTCATCAAGTACTCTTTTTGATCATTCAATTCACTCCTTACCTATTATGTGATGAGCTCAAGCATACAATTCTTATTAACATCATCAAACAATTTGATTTAATTAATCTCTGCTGTTTGGCAATAACTTTTTAAGTAGTTGTTAGCGTTTTGATATTAAATGCTATTTTTTATAATATTTGGTAACATAGCTTTTAATATGTTATGAAGAACTACTTAAATAATTAATAGCTACTCAATAAGTGAAACGCTACTAAAACAACTAACAGATATCAAAATAGTAAATTTTGCCTAATAGACCATTAATCTCAATTGGTTTTAGTTACATAAATATACCTATTAATAGATGATTTGTAAATTATTACCCAAACTGTAAATCAAATGTGATCTGCTTGATCTTTCTACGTCTTATTGAAGATATACAGAGCGAGAGGTTTCAAGTTTGAGTTCTCTCTACCACAGAAGTTTTCATGAATTTGACGAATGTTATTCAAAGAAAATAATTATCTCTTTTCTATTGCTCACAATATTATTCTGGTCCAACGAACTTTTCATATGTACATAAATTATCACCCAAATTAATGGGTAGAAGTCTAAATATGTTAATCACATAGAAGGCTTAATCACTAAATAAGAAAGTCAAAGTTTTTTTTTTTATATATATATATAAAAGAAAAAAGTAATAGTACTAATCATGGATCCTAAACTTGTGGATTATGCAGCTTTGACCCATTACAATATATAAAGTAAAGATTCCTTAGAACTAGGAATAGAATAGGACACCAAAACAATAGGTGAACAAAGATATTAAGGGTCACTCTTATATATATATATATGGTTTGTTGTGGCAAGAGTTGTTTAACAGAAAAATAAAGAAAATAGGGCCATTCATATTTTCATTATCAAGAAAATGCTTGGCATCCAACAAGATAGTCAAAAAAGAAATGCAACAACGAACAAACAAACATCTAATTATTAAGGTTGTTGGAGATTAGGTGCAAATTAGTAATATTAATTAGTTGAATTAAATTTAAAATCTGGTATTATACTAGTATATTTTATGGGCAGGTAATCTGCCAAATTTAAGGGGTGAGTGAGTGATTATGTATAAGTCAAAAAGTGCAAAAGAAATCCCTAATTTTCTCTCTCTCTCTCTCTCTCTCTCACTAATTGGGAGGTTGTAATTATTAATGTTATTATAAAGAAAGATGGTATTTTTGACCA